TGTTTGGGGAAAGGTAGGCCTGGCTGTATCTGCTAGCACTACCAAGGCTTTAAGGCAAGTATTCTTTTCTCAGCTCCTTCCTCACCCACCAGAGGGCCTTGGTGGAGTTGGTCAAGTTGTGGTGGTATGCGATCACCTGTCTAGAATTTTGGACACTTATGCTCTAGGGACAGCATACTGCTACTCACTTACAATCTGTAGCCACCTATGGGTCAACACCCCAGAAGCTTGACAGGGAGGGCGATCTGTGCCCAGCTCCAGTGGCCTGGGCTTTCGGTTCTGCTCAGCTGCTCAGGAGAGGAGACTGAGTGTCAGGCCTGCCTTGCAGGCTGGCATTTATTGTCCCAAGTCTTAGCCTATTTGCTTTGTGACCTTGGAGACATCACAAACCTCTGTTTCTTCATCCATAAAATTGAATGTAAAAATATTGACCTGCCTCGTGGGGTTTTTATGTAGAATAACTGACCCAGATGATGGCAAAGCTTCTTTGTTAATCAGAAAGGACCAAAGTGCTTAGCAAGCACAAACTTGAGTTTTAGAAAATTGTTTGCCTGCTTGATGTATTCCTCCCCCCCCCCTTCCTCCCTGAGTTTGCACCTTCTTTCCTTTGCAGGGCTGAGATCAGAGGATAGAGGCCCCCTGTGTAATCCTGCTCATGGCACAACAGTGTCCCAGCCCTATCTCCTAGCCTCTGCGCATTCTAACTGCTCACCAGAGAACCAGGACAGGGCCTACCATAGTAGGGGCCATGACAAGGCTATGCTGGGCCTACCTAGAAGGCAAGGTTGTTGCTCTTGGTGACCAGTGTAGCTATGTGAGCATGGAGAACCAGGAAGTAGCATACATATTTCACCTAAGGTCTGGGAATGTAAAGCTACCATTTTGAGACAATGATGCCCAAAGGAGCTTTTCTGTTTTGTTAACAGAGGACGAGGGTGGGATGTGGTGGGTGGAATGGGAATTTGTCATGTAACATTGGCCACACTCTCTAGGATTCTACTTCTAGGCCATTGACTGTGTGTTACTGAGAACTTTCATGAGCTCAGACCCTTGGTCATCACCCAACACAAGACAGGTCTTTCACTACCTGGGACCTGTCCTTGTCTCCATATCTTCCTCATCCCAGCGTACACTTTGAAGCTAAGCACGATGACACATACCTATAATCTTGGCACATACCTGTGAACTTGGGAGATGGAAGCTAGAGAATCAGGAGTCCAGGGCATGAGACTGTCTTGAAAATACGGTGACAATAATAACAGAAATGTAACTTGACCTCTGAGGAGCTTCTTTGTCCAGTTTCCCTCTGTCCTGCTTCATTTCTCCTCCATCTGTTGTCCACTCTGTGGACAAAGTACTTCTTTAAAGATGCATGCAAGCCAGGTGTGATGGGCACATCCGTAACCCTTACACTCGAGAGGCTACACCAGGAAGACCTCGAGTTCAAGGCCAGCCTGGGCTACATAGCAAAACTCATTCAGAAAACAAACCCCAAGGTGTCATAGCAGGCTCACCTGGTTTGCCTTTCTTACATGGTAGAAGTGGTCTTCAGCCTTATGCCCCAACCCAACCCCCAGCATCCTACTCACTTCCAGTTTCTCAGAGGACCACATTCTCCTCACAAGGACCTTAGATTTGTTCTCCCCCAATTGCTGGGTCTCCTGTGCATGGTGGTTCTTCCTGGTCCCAGCTCCATGCTACCTCTTCAGACAAGCTGGCCAGCTTTCCTAAATCCTATTTCCTCTTCTCTCTGTGTACCTCCCCACAGCCATACAATTAACATCATTAATTGCAGATTTAGCTCTTACTCCATCTCCAGGTAGCAGACCCCCGTGAGTCCCAATGCTGTTGGTTTCTTCCCACATCCTGGCCCTGGGCTTACATGTGAAAGGAATGGAGCAGGCATGTTGATACACATGTGCTAGCTCATTCTGCATGTTCGAGGAATGCTTGGTGGCCTTCGAGTCTCTGGATAGTCTCACAAAACAAGAAAATGAGTGAGTGGGAGGAAAGCCTGTCTCTGTACTGTTAGTGTCTAGGTCAGCCCTCCATTCTTGGCCTCCCCGAGTGTAATGCAAGCTCACTGACGACTGGTGGTACTGTCTGCTTGTGCCCGGGAGAGCCAAAGGAGTGGCTTTTCGGCCAGCCCCCTCTTTTTCTTCTTCTCAATTTTCTCTCCTCTCCCTTGGCAGCTTCTACTTCTGGGAATTTTTCTCTCCCGCCTGTCCCCATCTTTATCTGCTTCACAATTTCCTGTCTTGGCCCTTGGAATCTTGATCTTCGGTTATTTGCCTCTCTGCTCTTATGCCCTCGCAAGGCATTCTTTATTATTTCAGTCCTGAGAACATGAGCCTGTTGAAAGGAGAGCATGCTGTGAGGGAAGCCCGCCTGGAGCTGGGTGGGAGCAGCAAGCAATGCTAAGAAATCTAGCAATGCCAGACTGTAAAGATGTACAGCAGCTAGGCTTACACCCTGATGGTAGAAGTGTATGTCTATGTTTAGAGACCTGAACCCTCACTCCTGAGACCCTGAAGTCCTTGAGAGCGCACCTTGCATATAGGTACCTGGTCAGATCCTTATGAGAGGAGAGGCTCATTGTAGCACTTCCAGCAACAATCCTGAGTACTGCAGATGAGTGTGAACAGGAGCCCAGCTCAAGCTAAGGATAAACCTCTGGCAGGCAGTCCCCAGCCACTGACCTGCAGGTACCCACGCATGTAGGGTTCTCAGTGCCCTGTCTACAGTGCACTCCTTCAGAAAACCCAGCCGCCCACACAAGGCCGTGTGCTCAGCAACTACTACTGCATGTGTTATAACCCTGGACATAGTCATGTGTGTGTAGGAAAGGAGAGGGAGTGCTCAACACCAAATTCCAGACGGTGGGTCCCTGCACCACGGCATGCAGCATGTTTCCAGGGAGGGAGTGCACAATAAGATCAAGGACTGATGACTTTGGGGTTCTGGAGGGGCAATCACTGATAGGCTTACAGGTGGTGTTCACTGCCTTAAGTGAAACCCACCTCGCAGAAGTGGTGACTGCTCTGGAAAGCAGGATCAGGGTCTGAGTGTGCAGCTTTTCTTGGGGTGCATGTAAGGAAGCCCTTCCCAAAGTGCCCTGGGTATCAAAAGGAAGGAACCTAACCCGGAAGAAAATCCTGGCAAAGCACAGGACATTGAGAATCACCGTGTGTGGCTTATGGCTTAAGAAGAGTGTTATGCACATGGATTGCAGAGGGTTGTAGTTGGGCGGTGCTGTATGAAGAGTTTTACTGAAGGCTGGGGGGCCCCCACCTTCTCCAGAGTGCTTCCCAGGTGCCTGAGGGTCTGAGGAGTATGGCAGCCTCGCCGTGTAAAGGGGCCTTTGGTGACTGAAGGCCCTTCCTGCTGCTGAGAGCTGTAAGACTGGAGCCCTGGAAGTCACTGACACACTTTCCTCCTTGGATCTACAATGTAGAGCACTGCCCCAGGGACCCCGCCCCCATCACCCACTGGCTCCTAGGCCACCTCAGAGAAGGCTTGCATTTCCCTTTGATTGATCTGGGCTGCAGCTTTTGACACTGCTTCTCACTTTCTCTGCCCTCTGACCCTGTGGGTGGGGAGTTAATGATCTTTAAACAAACACTTGAGTTTGATACTCTGGTGAAAGGCTCTGGGCCTGAGTGCCACCAGCACAGTGTTGGCCCTGTGTCCAGGAGGAAAAGTGTGGGTGCCTGCCTCCAGCTCCAGTGACAGGGATGTTTGTAACTAAATCATAAAGATCCAGCCTCATTCTGTTCCTCCTGCTGGGTTTTCTGAAATGGGTTTCATGCACTCTGCTTTGTTCAACTGAGATTGTTTGATGGCATCTCGTGAATGGGGCATAGGAGGAATGCCACCATCTTGGGCTCTGCTGTGCCTGCTCCTGATTTGCAGACTGTGAAGGCAGAAGCCTGCTCTATATGAAGTCAACATTAACTTTCAGAAAGTGAGATAAGATCACATTGCCCCATGGGTAACTCTAGGCAGTCTCACATGATATGCATGGCGCCTAGGCCTTGACCTCTAGCCTGCAACTGCCCTCCTGCCTCTTTATTGATGGCTTAGCCTCACAGGAGGCTTCATCTTTGGTCCTGGCCCTTACTGGTGCCTCCGCCTAGAGCTATCTCTCTCTTGGATCTTCACAGTCCTCAGCTCAGGGGCTGCCTCTGTAGAGCTCTTCTCCCTGCTTGTGCAAAAGTCAGAGCCTGCCCCACCCTAAACTATATTATGTTTCTCATGGCTCATGCACCTACATTGTAGAATTGTGTTTCAGTAAATATCAACACATGTTTTCATGTATTAATTTATGTTATATAAAGTAACATTAATATATCTGCTGGGTAGATAATTTTTCCTGTTTCTATATATTGAGTTCTTTGAAACAGAACTAGTTCTGGTCTTTCTAGAATAGAGTCTGGCACATGTTAGACACTGGGACCCCATCAAATAACCAGAGAAAGACCCTTCTCAGAGAGCTCTCCGCCTTGGCAAGCTGCCACAGGCTAGACAGTGGGGGTTTCATGGGTGAGGAGAGGCAGAAGGGCAGGCCACTCAGGAATCATGGACAAGTCCTGCCCTTAGTCACAGACTCCATAGCTTGCCATCTGACCTGAACTTTCAAAGCAAATGGCACACTGGTAGACCGAGGAGCTGGGTGTCAAGGCTATGCAGAGGGCTAGAATGTACTGGAATGGCTGATGAAAAGGAAGAAGCTGGAGGGTGGAGACCGGGATGAAGCAGCTTCCGGAGGACAGAGGGAACTGACTAGGGTGACCACTGTTCTTCTGCTGGCACAGGGATGAGATTTGGGAAGCGGCCTAGCCTGGGCCTTTGCTCTTAGGAGTGCTGCTTTCATTGCCCAAGAAGGTCTGGACCTCCACTAGGACTGGGGATGAGTGGATTTGGGGCATAGAGGCAGAATCAGCCCAGCCCCAGCTTCAAGGCTTATGATTTCATATGTTCTCCCTCTCATTCCTGACCAGGTGGTGAAAAAAGTAAAGTCCATGCAGATGTTCCACACACCCGTCACCTCTGCCACACAAGGAGATCGACTGGGCATCTGTGTCACCCAGTTTGACCCCAAGCTGTTGGAACGTGGGCTGGTATGTGCACCTGAGTCTCTGCACACCATTCATGCAGCCCTCATCTCTGTGGAAAAGATCCCTTACTTCCGGGGCCTCCTGCAGACTAAGGCCAAGTTCCATATCACCGTGGGCCACGAGACAGTCATGGGCCGCATGCTGTTCTTCAGCCCTGCTCCTGACAACTTTGACCTGGAGCCCACACTTGATTCTTTCGACCTCTCCCGGGAATACCTCTTCCAAGAGCAGTACCTCTGCAAGGACTCCATGCCCACAGCCACAGAAGGTGGTGATGAGGTGGACAGAAAAGCGGATGACACTCCAGGAGGCCAGTGCCCCCGGCAACAGTGGGCCCTGGTAGAGTTTGAGAAGCCAGTCACCTGCCCCCAACTATGCTTGGTGATTGGTTCCAGACTGGATGCCGACATTCATACCAACACATGCCGGCTGGCCTTCCATGGTGTCTTGCTACAAGGATTGGAAGACAAGAACTACACAGAGAGCTTCCTACCAGCACTGAGGGTGTACAAGCTGAAGCACAAGCATGGTCTTGTGGAGCGGGTAAGCTCAGCCCTTGGATTCCTTCCTCTCCCTGCTCAGTACTAGGCCCAAGTGTGGGCTTGGACCAGAGTCAGAAGTCCTTAGGTTTTAGACTAGATAGTTAAGGCCAGGGTCCAAGGCAACCTGAGTGCTTTCCATCATGCCCTCATAAAGCTGGACTATAGCCATACCCTCCAGGTTAGCAGACTGGGGCCTCTCCCAAAGGCTTTCTGCCTTTGCTAGACCCTGTGCATCATGCAGCTGGCCCCTGCCAAGCCCAGCCCAGGTTCTCATGACCAGTGGGAGTACCTGGCACAGTCCAGGTCCACTTCACCTACAAGGTAGGAAAGGGCTAGTGGTTCATAGATACAAATAACAAGAGGAGGAAGACCAGAAAAGTCACTGGCTACCTGAGCACCTTGGGGTCACTATGACTGGACAAAGCCCAGGGATGCAGGCCTGACACTGGAGTCTACACAATGTGGTACCTTTCTTGAAGTTGAGTGGGAATCCAGGCCTAGAATTAAGGGCTCCTGGGTATCCAGGCCTCTCACCGTCTCTTCTAACTAGCCATACCACAGGGCTTGGTAGCTGTGTGTGGTCCCAGGGTGTATCTGGGCTCCCACCAAATCAGCACAAAGGCAGCCCCCCTCCCCATCTTAGTGTAGCTGCTAGTACAAGGCCTGACCCTTGTGTAGTACCCACCTAGGGCATACAGGCACACACTCCTGGGACTGTCTTTTCCCCCTGCTCTTCTGCTTCATCAGATCAGCCCCACAGCTCAGGACCTTGGCCTGGGTGAGTTCCATCCACCTCAGCACAGCAGAGATGCTTCTGCAGATGGGGTGATAAAGTGAGCGTCGCTGTTCATCCAGCTTGATTTATTAGTAGCATTATAGTGTGTAATTATTCTGTAGTAAAGTATCTATCGGAGAATAATGTCTTCTTGGTATGGCTCCAGATCTAATTGTTCTCCCTCAGGCCTGTCACTTCCTTAGAGAATTGGGGGGGTGGGGGGAGACTAGTGAGGAGCAAGGAAACACACAGTTGAAGTGACCCAGGCCTCCCAAGAGCAACAGAAAGGGTCTGGAGACATGCTGATCTGTGTCCTATCACTAGTCCAGGGCAGCCCAGGGCCACCAACCTTTTCATACTTTGTCCAAGGAGGCATCAGACCATAGATTTTCAGTCACACTATCAGATCCCACGTAGGCAGCCCTGAGAGCCACGGGCTTCTCCAACCACCAAGGATGGCTATTTGGTCTCAGTAGGTGCATCCATCTGAATGTAGACAGTCTTGACCTCACAGGCATGAAGCGTGACCTTCACATTTGAGAACTGGTTCTCATCAGGTAAAGCCAGAACAGCAGAGTTCCCAAGTGCCCAGAAAGATTGCTCTGAGGGGCAGCTATGCTTGGCAAGTTCTCTAATGGAATTGAACCCAGAGGGATAGGGGAAAAGTGTGTGTGTGTGTGTGTGTGTGTGTGTGTGTGTGTGTGTACCAATGATGCACCCCCAGTCCAAGGATGAAAGGCCGAAAGGTCTCTGGAGAAAAGGAGTCCATGTTGAACAGCTGAAGAAGCTAGAGTCTCATATCCACAGCAATAGGGAGTGATAAACATGCTGGCTCAAAAGAGTGGAGCTTGTATACATAGGTAGTCTTTGCAAGGCAGAAAAGTATCCTGAACTCTCATCCTTGACTGTACTGGCTGACTCCAAACATTCTGAGGTGTGCCTCTGCCAAAGAAGTTTCTGGGTGGTCATGTCATCTTACAAAGGTTAAATCTGATATCTTAGGCAGATCTCTACCCCATGCTCTGCAATACTGGGCAGACTTGGTGCACTGGCCCTGTCCTACGAACACTCAGTCAGCTCAGGTACCTGAGATGTCCTAAGTTGCTAGTAAAGAGAGGCCCCTCTTCATAGATAGGTGTGAGTGGACACTTACCATCTGAGCATGGACGAAGGCATCTGGGCCCCTGTTCCTGCTGCCCATAAAGGTGTCATCTTTCATAGTTCTATGGAGTTCCTGTGTTTATGCCAGCCTTGGATACACAAGGAGGAGGCCCAAGATCATCCACACAGTAGAGGCTCAGACTGAAATAGAAACAGCGTGCAAAATAACGTTAATCAGGATCCTGCAGGCAGTGCTTGACACCAGGAGATGCTAACTCTGCGGCAGTCTCTGCTGTGCTTGCTCTACTGCCTGTGGATGGTGCCTGAACACGTGGGTGTTCCTCAGAGTAAGTGCTACCTGGGCCCAGCCTGAACAACTGTTCTTACTCCAAATTTAGTCATCTTAAAGAAGCTTATTTTCTCTGGATACTTTTTTTTCAACTGGTGCAATCAAACACAATTTAATTAACTTACCATTAGTAAATAGCTTTCTTTACTTGGCTAACAAATGAGCCACCCAGAAACTTTGGTACCAGCTTCATTCCCATTTTTAATTATTTTGTATCTACAGTGATGGAATATACTATTTTAAGTGGTCTCATTTTTCTAATCATTGTTTTTCTGTGAGATAGGAATATTGTAATGTCAGGTATGTTGAGTTAACATAAATAATTACAAGCACAGGGCTTTGCCAATGGGCTCAATAAGATGATGCCCTGTATGCCATTGAGCCCCACAGTGCACCCCTTGAATCCCATTTCATCTTGTTTTCACATGAGGCGTCCACACTACTAACAGAAATCACTAGCACTCCAGAGGCAGAGGCAGAGGCAGGAGGATCTCTCTCTGAGTTCGAGGCCAGCCTGGTCTACATAACAAGTTGCAAGGCAGCCTGGACTACATATAAAAATTTGAAAGGTTTAAATGAAGTGTTATTCTCCACTGAGGTATAGATTGCACATGAGTTCCTTCCACAGAGTACAGAATGGAAAGTGAAAGGTTGAGAAACTTTGCAAACCTGTCTCTAAAAAAACAAAAACAAACAAATCTCTAGGTGAGTGTGGGGTGGTGTGGGCTGTTGGCCGTCAATGTTCCTGTAGTTGCAAGTCGTCCCTGAATGCCTAGTTCAGTCTGTGCCTCAATTGTTTCCTTGCTAATAAGGCCCAGAAATAGCTGTGAGCTGCACCTAAATACGGTTTTGTTTAATTAAAACTTTCCATTAGTGAACACTAAAATTTAACTTTTGCTTAGTTTTCATGTATCATGAAATATTCTTTTCAAAAAATGTTTTTCAGCTCATTAGGCAAAAAGCTATTCTTAACTCACAAGCCATCTAAGAACAGGTCCAGGCAGAGTCTGACCCTCTGGTCAGTTTGCTGTTCCCTGTCTACGAGGTAAACAGCTCTTGCTGAAGCATGCTCTTCCTGTGAGGGAATCCTGGTCACAGCTACAGCTGACCAGCTCTGCTTGCTCCGCAGCCCCAGGAATTGGGTCATGGAGTAGGGGCTCACAGAGGTAAAGGCATCTGGAGTGTCACTCAGGAGGGGGAGAAAGGGGAATCTGAAGGGCTGGAAGCTCTCTGGAGATGCTCCACAGGCTGGCCTGTCTGGCAGTGGACTAGCACTTGGAGAGTAGGGGGATCATTTGAAGGTTCACTGTTTGAAAGGAAAACATAAAACATGAATCAGATTTTTAGCACAGAGAAAGAATGAATGGAATGGAAAAGTTGGAAGAAATGCTTGTTCACAGAAGGAAAACTGGAATGAACTTGATAAACCAACAAAAATAAGAAAAACAAGAATAATATCAAGAAATGATGACAGAGATACAAAGGAAAAAATTAAGACATACTTGCCATACTAAATAAATCCCAGCTATAAAGACAGACCAGACTAATAGATTGAATTAAAACATAAACTCTACTGACATGCTGTGTCTAAGAAGCAAAAGTAAAAACTAAAGGCTGTCAGGAGACTAAGCAGAAAGGTCAAATGAGTGGATAGTTACTTTAACAGAGAAGTCACAGCTATGAAGCAAAGAGAGGTAGCACGTAGTAACAAAGGCACAGTTACAGACCTGGACCAAATACAGTAAAAGTAAAACCCAACGGGAACCCAGGGAGATGGGGTGTGTATTTTCAAACGAAATGTTCAACCTCCCTTAGGGCATTTATAAATGAAAGTGTTAGGTCCATAGAAGTGTAGGCTTGTAAAGATCTGGCAGAAATTATGAGTTGCTAAAGGTATGTCAAAGCTGAGCGGAACTACTGGGCCCTGTCCTCAACAGGCTGCTGGTGCAGTACAGATTTAGACATACAGCTGTTATGAGCCAGAGGTCAGAAAAGTGGGTCTTCCTGTGGGCCAGCAGGGACAAAAGCCCATGGATGGGGTGGAAAACTGAGAGGCAGGAGAGGAGGAACAGAACTCCACCTAAGGTGGGGCAGGCACAGAAGGGTGGGCCCTGAGCAGCTAAAGAGCCCCTGGTCAGACATGGAAGAACCTGGAGGGTTCCAGAAGGGCTGCTTCTGTGACACAAAGACCCTGAGCCACGGGGGAAGCCCTCAGCCAGGCCACCCCGCTAGCACCAGGTGATAAGGTCAGGGCCTCTTCTTGGAATAGGGGGTTGGGTGGGCTTGAAACAGAGTGGCTTCGGTTCCCCAGGCTGGAATCACCCCAGAGCTAGACCTACAGAAGCTGTCCTGTGAAGGCTTCAGGCATCATCTTACCTGCCCTGCCACATCCTGTGATTCAAGGCTTCCTATCCCAGTTTATCTGGATCACAAGAGCTCCCAGGCCTGACAGAACCTGATCCATGGGCTACATTTCTCCTCCATAGCAGCTGTACCCTCTTTGACATCAAGAAAGAAGTGAGGCAGGTGAGACTTGGTGCCCAGTACATCCTGACTTCAGCACCACCCTTCTGCCTCACTGTGGTCCTCGACATCTGGCAGCCCACACAGCCCCCCACAAATAATGGTGCATGGGATAAAGGTCCTGCCAGCTCCTACTATAGAATCTCTTAGATATGGAACCCTTACAGAACCAGACAGCACTGTGCACAGCACTAAAGTAGGCCCCAGGGTGTGGCAAGTGGATAAAGAATAGAAAACAAACATGGAAAGTTCT